ACCAGAAGGCCTTCAAGCTTTGCAGAGATAATAATTTATGTTCTATACAATTCAGTTCACCCATTTAAAGTGTACCATTCAATGTACCACTAGTAGTATCATCATCCCAAACTAAGTTTAGAACGGTGCCATCGTCCCAAGCAATTTACCATTTTTAATATGGTTAAATAGTTCAGAGTTGGGGGAGGGGGCTATTCATAATCTAATACAAAAATGAAAAGACACTTTTAATCAGATGTGACTGTCCCCTGTGTGACTTGGCTGTGTCTGCTGGAAGCTATGTATTTTCATGACATCAGGAAGGCAATTCTCTCCCTGTCTAATTTCATTCTGGAAGGTCTCCTACATTGACCTGGGCTGCTTCTTCATTGTGGTCTCTAAAAAACACAAATGAAACCACGTGGCAAACCCTTCCAACCCCAGCTCTGCCCTGGTCCTTTACTTCTTTATCTTTTCCTATCGCTTCCATTATTCTGATAACCCCTGATTCCAACCACAGCCACCGCTCTCCAACTGGCCAAGGGTGCCACCATCCCTGCTTCTATGAAAGTGGCTTAGAGTAAATATGGCAAGCTCCCCCCACTCTCAGCAGGTGAAGAAACTCCACGAGAAAACCAATAGTCCAGAAAGATGCAAAGCCTATTGGACATTGCTTTTAAATGGGTAGTTCTAGAAGAGGTTTTTCGAAACTTTTTATTCCCCGCAAAAGCTAAACTCATACCTACTCTGCGTTGTTCACATTCAGAGGAAGCTTCAGTGCAGGGGCAAGGACTTGTAAGGTTTTCTTTGTAGAGAATCAAGGCGGGTTGGGGGTGTGTGTGTGTCAGAAGGTGAGGTGACAACATGGCTTTATCAACCACACAGACTGTGCTACCTGGTGGGTCAACACAGACCCATCTCAGCCCAGTATTAAATACAAGTGTATTAAACAGAAACTGTTCCTGGGTATCTGTGAATGATAATGAAACAACATCTGATATTTATTGTACACCTCCTATGTGCTATCTTCTGATCTGTGTTAAACATCGGGTCATTTAATCCATATCAAATACCAAGAGGAGGTACTAACATCAGCGGCACCCACTTTTTAAAAAAATCATTTTGTTGGGGGCTCGTGCAACTCATCACAATCCATACATCCATCCATTGTGTCAAGCACGTTTGTACATTTGTTGACCTCATCATTGTCAAAATATTTTCTTTCTACCTGAACCCTTGGTTTCAGCTCCTCATTTTTCCCCTCCCCCCCCACACCCCCACCAGCTCATGGAGCAAGGATATGCTCCTGGATATGAAGTGGAGGCTGATGTTACAAATCCCAATCCAAACTCTAGCTTTTCAGCTCACCCTCAAACCCCTCCCAGGTTCTCCCTCAGGAAATGAGAGGGAATGGGGCTCACACAGCACAGAGGAGGTTGATTCTTTCTCTAATGCCCAGGAAATCAAGGAGAGCTACTGGATAGAGGTACATACTGATAATATTAATATTGTTTAGATTAGACAGACACCAAGCATGTGTGAAGGGGTGATAGCCAAGGCTTCTTAAGAGTAGTAAGGAAGCCAAAATGATGGTTTGTTTACCAGATGGGTGAACTAAACCACTTGACCAAGTACTGTATGTACTCAAGTATAAGCGGACCCAAATATCAACTGAGGCACCTAATTTTACCACAAAGAAACACATTTAAAATGTGCTGGGAAATGGCTTATACATGATTAGATGTATAAGTTACCCTTGGTAAACTATCAAGGGTTGTGTTTATAATAGACCTTCAGAGCCAATCAGAGAGGCTAGGTGGAACAACTCCAAAGTAGAAGGGAACACCACACTGTCAGCAATTTAATTCATTGGATTAAAACTGGGCTAGAAGAAGAAGGAGCTACTAGCTATTCCTTGGTCTGCTGCTAGTTTAAATTAAAAATAAGTAAATAAAATAATTAACTAACCAGCCCTGATAGCATGGTGGTTACACACTGGGCTGCTTACCACCAGGGGCATGGTTTGAAATCAACAGTGCCCTCCTTGAGAGAAAGACGAAGCTTTCTACTCCCATAAAGAGATATAATCTTGGGGCAGTTGTCTCCTATCCTACAGGGTCATGGTGAACGGGAACTGACTAGATGGCAGTGAGAGTTTGAGGAAAACACGGGCATTCTACACATGAAAGACAACTACCAGTAGCTATAGTGGACACTCAATGGAAAGAAAACGTGGCACCGCCTAATATCCTGCTTCTGTGGAATTAGAGTCCATCAGATCCTTAATCAGAAAACCTGAACCTTCTTGTAGGACCAGGAGATGCTCTATCCGGGAGTTATGCTGAGCTTTTCCTGAGGCCGCAGCTCTGTCATGTCTCCACACAGCCAAGACACAATCAATTATCAAATCCCGACTCATGAGAAAGAAAGAAACAATCAAAATGCATTCAAGCTTTCAAGCCACGGGAATGAACAGAACTGAGAGCCATGCTTTCAACTGGCTCTGTCAAACTACGACCAGGTTTTGGAACTGGAAGAGCCCTCGGATGAAAGCCAAGTGCAGGAGTGACACGCATGTGCTACTAAAGGCACAGGGAATGCTACCAGCAGCCCACCTAAGGGAAGCCAAAGCCATGCTGCCTGTGCGATGGCGAAGGAATCACTGTTCACACCAGCGGTGCTTAGAGCTGCATGTGAAAAGAAGGCAAGGGCTTGATTTCATAGCTTGATTTCAGCTAGAAGCCGCGTACCATTTGCTCTCTAGGCTGTCCTCAGTGACCAGAATGGTACCACCCGCTCTAGACACCCTCCAGGACATGACTCGCGGATGCTCGTCCAGCTAACTATGGCTCGCTCCCCCTTCCACCTGCAACTCTCAGGATGCACCTGCTCTGCCAGCAGCAGTCACAGGACTCACTTGAGGGAACAGCTACTAAATCAAGGCTGAGGAGACAAGGGCAGAAGTAAGGCAAAATTAATTTGGCGAAGCAGCAGCTGCTTCCTGTTTTAGCTACCACGGAAAAACTCAGGGACTAGGAGAGAACGGAGGTGCTATGTCGGACTGCACCTTGAGCGGGAAAGCAGGTATGCCAGGACAACATAATATGGGAACCATCTTAACAGAGCCCTTGGGGTTTCGTGTGCTGGACCATACCATATAAAGAGGGTGGTGGGGAAGGGGCTGGAGGAGAGGGAGCAGAAGAAAGGGAGAGGATGGCGAAAACCTGTGACACCTTCTTTTTACAGAATCGTGTTTTCACAGACCGCACGCCCATGTGCCAAGTGCATATACGAATGCATGGGAGGGGGTGGGTGGTTGGCCAAACCAGCATCATGCACATGTTATCTGCATAAAATATGGTACTTATTCCCCAAACCTTCACATCTGCTCATCACGTCCCAGCAGAGGACGGAGCTCTGTCAGCGCTGCTCCCCAAGGCAGACTAACTTCGGTGGTCTAGAACAAAGTCCACTAACGCTAACAGATCTCCAGATATCACCTGATCCCAAAGTGGGTTTCCAGGACCTTAGACACTTTGGCCAAAAATTAAATTGTCAAACAACATTTTTTTTCCCTACCGTGGCCAAAATGGGGGGAAGAGGTGGAGAAGGGGGTAAAGCCATCTGCCTGCTATGTTTTTTTAATGAAATAAATACAAATTTCAACCTTAAAATAGGTTTTGGCATAACCTACTTTAAAATAACAAGCGTGTCTTCACATTTGGGCCTTTTCTCGGTTAACTATGTGCTGGCATTAGCCAAGACAGGCCGGGGCTTCACCTTAAATCAACACTCCCTCGGTGCTAACTTGGAGACTCTGTACATTCTATACCAGAGTGCTCTTGTTTTTAACACATGCTTGTTTCATACACACCCATATTGGTAACACACATATGAATGTGAATGTGCAAGTGAAAGTACATATCACACTTTGAAAACCTTTCTTTAAAAATCAGCACTTCTACTTACACAAGGAAATTGGCTGCAACTGAGGGAATTCATGTCAAAATGCAATTAATAGGTAAGGGCTAAGCTGACACAAGATCCTGGTCTTGGAAACATCCTTCCTGCAAGTCAAATTTAATCTCTCTGAGAGAGTCATTGGAGGGAAAAGTTAATGACGACAGATGTTACACATTTGAATACCACCAGGGGACTCCCAAGGAGATGGCCAACTCTCAGATGAACTCAACTGCCACCAAGACACCAGACCCATCTGTGTAGACGAGCCCCAGACGTGCCCTGTCTCCTGCCCCACCACTTGCCCAAAAGGCCAGGGGACAGATGGAAAAAGTAAACACTTGTAAACATGATAGACCTAATGATGCCCTAATTACAAGGGAGATAGTATCCTCTCATTAATTGGCAAGTTAATTGACCGGGAGTCCCAGTTTCAGAAATCAAGTCCAATAGCCCTATCTTTGATAGCTGATCTCCACAGCTTTCTCCTCACACGTAACACACCCTTCATCCAGCCACAAAGCTGTCAGTTCTGCTTGATTTGTAGGAACACTGTACTCGACGACAGCTGTCGGAAACAGTACATTACAACAGCTGCTGTGACAGCTACAAGGGGCTTGGAAGTTTAATTGGGCTCAATGTGACATTGTGCATTTTTCTAAACATAGGAATATCCACAAAACAGAGACATTTCCAGTGGATCTAAACAAAGTTGACTCATAGGCACACTACCACCAGGTAAACCTTCCTGTTCGAGTTATCTTGAGGCTCCCCTAATACTTTGGCCACCAGGTTGGTGGGATTACCAGAGGGGGTAGAGGGAGACAAACCCTAGGAGCAGTTATATGCACAAGAAAAGGGGCATTAAGCAGGAGAGGAAATCAAAAGGAAGTCAGGTCAGCAATCCCTTTCAAAGGCTGGCTGGTGGCCAAGGAGGATCCCACAGTGTCTCAGGATTTACTTCCAAAGGAAATGTATTCAGAGGCCCGGAGCCTGGTGCCAACTGCCAAGCAAACCATTCATTAGAGCTACCACCCCCCAGAGACCTGAGACTGGCTTACTCTCAGCCTGGGCGCGGAGGAAGAAGGCAAGCAGCAGTAGCAGCAGCAGCCGGACCATGGGTGCCATCCTGCAGCGTGGCAGCAGCATGCTCAGGCCACAGGGGAGCAGGGCCTCAGAGGCTGCAGGGCGTCTGTCTGTCAGAGACTTCAGCTGGAACTCTTTCAGAGCCTGGGAGGGGAGAGGCAGAGGGAAGGGGGAAGAGAAACAGAAAAGACACTTTAGATTTCTCACTCTCTCCCCCAGTTCCACCACCACCACCACGAGGGTCACAAGCCACTATGACTACACAAGACATCTTAGATGGGATGCTGTCGCTGGGAAAATGTCGGAGCCCTGGGGTTCTCGGGTTCCCATCCTCAGGCCATATGAAAGCCGACCACCTTGCGTTTCCCTCTGTTTGTGCTGCTTTGGGGGGCCATGCACTCCGAGAAGAAACTGTCACTTCGGATGAACCATGCCATGGATTCATCAGTGGGAGAAAGCATGCCAGTGCTCCAAGAAAGATTTAAGGGAAGTTCCATCGTGTGGGATGAAAGTCTATTATTGACAGAGTAATGGAAGCTGCTTTCTAGGTACCATGTGAAATGACAGGGCGAATTCAATGTCTCCAGCTAAATGGTAGAGGCTAGAATTGTCACACGAGCACATTGGACATCTTCCAAGGAGGAAGACGCACCAACATTCAAGTCTAGTTTGGATTCAGTAAGTCAAAACAACAGTTAGCATGCGCCGCCTTGATCTCACAGAATTTGTATATGCCTTCTGGGCAAAGGCTTCGTTGTCTCCATCTCTTATGTACAGTAAGTATGCCATAAGCTATCTTTACAGAGCCTACTGTGTGCATGACACCACACAGTGCCTTAGTGACATCAGGTACAAAGGTGAAGTAAAGTCCTTCTTTGATGAGCTTCCAGATTAGTAGAGAAAATAGAACTGGCGTGCTGTGGTAATCAGCGCAAGGAGAGAACGCCAGGCCAGACTCTAACATTTAGGCTCAGAAACAGCATGGCGGACAAGAGGCGTGTTCTCAAACTGAGTGCCGAAGTCTAAGGACATAGGCGCATGGCCTTTGAGGCCTTGGGGGAGGAGACAGGATGGCAGTGGGGAAGGCACTTCGGAAAAGTTGCCTGGTTTGGCTGGAGCAGGGCTTCCCACATGTCAGCATACCTGAAGCACCTGGGATAGTTAAACCAGACAACCGGGCATCACCTCTGATGTCTGGGGTTCAATACGGCTATGGTGACGTCTCTGTTGGTACAGTTTACTCAGCTGCTAATCACAGGTGGGTGGTTTGAATCTACCCAGAGTCCCCTCTCTGATAAGAGGTCTGGTGACCGACTTCCAAAAAATCACCCACTGGGATCCCTACGGAGTACAGCGCTATTCTGACACACACATGTGGTCTCCATGCGGAAGAATGGGCCCAAGACTAACTACTATGTGACGGGGGGCGTCACTGGTGGCCTAATGAGTTAAGCATGTGGCTGCGAACCACAAAGTCAGCAGTCCAAAACCACCAGCCACTCCATAGGAGAAAGATGAGGCTTTCTCCTTCCATCAAGAGATTTTGTACAGTCACAAAAATTCACAGTCACAAAATTTCACACTTCTACTCTGTCCTGTTGGATCTGTATGAGTCAAAATTGAATCAATGGCAGTGAACTTGAGGGATTTGATTTGTTTGTTTTAATATGGGATGGTGTGGTTTGGGTCGGGCCCAATATTTTATATGTCTAACAGTTTTTGAAGGCTGCTAATGCTGCAGGTCCAGGAGCTACACTGGGAGAGCCAATGGATTGAGAGTGACTGACCCACTAAGAAACCAGAAGAAGGTGAGGCAAAGAAAATGGTTCAACCTTCTAATAGCAAACAGGTCCCACAGACCCTTCTGTGGAAATCTAAGCCCACCAGCCAGCCTGCACTCGGCAAACCACATAGCACTGTTTCAATGCTTTGGGGCAGAGGAATAACATGGCGCCAGATTTGGGCAGATGCACAGGCAATGGATGGCATGCAGGCTGATGGAAAGACTACTGTGAGGCCACGCCAAGTTTGTGGGGAGAAGCTACCCCGGACTTGAAGGAGTGGCGGTGCTCTTGTGGGGACAGTTTCGGGAAAAAAAAGCCATGAGGAACAGACCCCAAGGGATTTGAAGAATGACTCTTCGGGTGATAATTCTTCCTGCAAAGTCTTGAATAATTCTAGAGCAGCATCTTACAGAGAGTGAGCTCAGATGACTAATAATAGTACTACTAATAACAGTAATAATGACATGCGGAGTGCTGCCACTTCCTTGATCACTGAAAAAAACAGATTATCAGAATTCCTTCACAAAATGAATCCGAGCACCTTCCCCATCCCGACACTGCTATATTTGAACGCTGCATGCACAATTCTTCACAGGAAATACCAGAGAGACCCAGAAATAGTCTCATCCACTAGAATAACTTGTACTTTAAAGGAAGGGTAATGCAGATGCTGTAGTGTGACTTCTCTGAAAATGAGGCGGAACATAGAATAAAAACAAGAACGATATTATCTTTTCCAGTATTCCGCATGAGTGGCTCGCATGCCGGAAAGATGAAATGAAAAGGAAGGCAGAAAATCACTCTAATTACCATGATGTGAGGTAGCGCTTGCGTCTGTGTCTGTATCTTTTGAGCAGACTTGTGGGGGTCTCGAAGGAGCAGTGGAACACTGGAGTTCTCAGCACTCACCGGCTATTGCTATCCCTTGCCAACTGGCACACACCTGATCAGGCAGTCCACCAATACCAAATGGGGACCATCTCCAATCTTCACAGCTGAAGTGCTAAAGGAACCGGTGGGTCCCCGCTCCTCCCCTGGAGCCTCACTCTCATCTTGCTGCCATCATTTCAAATGACAGCAATGTCCAAGACCATCAGTCCTGTCTGACTGTGCAAACGTATCAGAGCTAACTGCTACGTGATGAGTCTGTGGGACCACGGCAATGGGGAAGTATGAGATGCTCCCTCAGGGAAAAGGTGGGCTGGTGAGTTTCCTCCTCCTTGACCGAAGTGGGAATAGATGCCAAATTCTTCCCAATGAACCTACAAATATCCCTTGCGGGACCAGTGCTGGGACCTAGCACTCTGGCAATGCAAGCAGATCCTTAACATTTGAAGAAATGTCTACTGAAATGGACCGTGTCTCCCTGACCAAGCTCTAAGAGATCAGAGATGTGAGGATAAAACCTGCTCTAGGTGTTCTTCCCAGCACCCCCCACTCGCAACCCACTCGAGCGTTGTCTTTGTTGACATGGGTCCAGGGCCCAAGGGAAATGCTGGCTTGAACATGAGTGCAGTGGGATTGAAATGTTGGGGGAGGAGGGACAGAAATGGATTTCGAAGGAAACACATCAAGTGAGAACACTCTGAGGATGAACCTGTCTTACAAGCTGTTCCATTCGCTTCCACGGGAAGGGGCGCCAAGCCCTTGGTGCAGAAAAGAGACAGCAATGCTTAGATGTGAAGAGCACCACGCCAGGAAAATCCTAAGCCACTGCTATGGAGCCAATTCCAACTCAGAGATCCTTAAAAGGGTTTCCGAGGCTATAAACCTTCACGGGAGCAGACAACCTCCTCTTTCTGCTGCCGAGCAGCTGGTAGGTTTGAACTGCAACCCAAAGCAAAAGGCCACCAAGGGGACTCTCAGCATCTCTACACAGTCGAGAGCCAGTTGTTGTAGTCATCAGGTGCCATGTCGTCGGTTTGGACCCGGAGGGACCCCAAGCCCAACAGAAGGAAACATTACTGGGTCCGGAGCCAACCTCACAATTGTTCCCATGGCCGAGCCCATTGCTGCAGCCACTGTGTCAACATAATGTCCAATGGTCCTCCACCAAACCCTCCACCAAGGAGGGAACCGATCACAAGGATCTACATAAAACCCCCTAACTGGGGGATGGACAACAGAAAAGTGGGTGAAGGGAGACATCAGTCAGTGTAAGACATGAAAAAATAATAATAACTTATAAATTATCAAGGGTTTATGAGGGAGGAAGGGTGGGGGAGGGAGCGGGGAAATTGAGCTGATACCAAGGATTCCAGTAGAAAGAAAATGTTTTGAAAATGATGATGACAACAAATGTACAAATGGCTTGACACAATGGATGGATGGATTGTGATAAGAGTTGTACAAGCCCCCAATAAAATGATTTTTATAAAAAACCAAAACCCTCCACCAAATCCATTACCTCACTTTTAACTTATATTTAAGGACACCTGGGTGAAACTGAGCCATCCCCATGAGTTTACAACTCCAATAAACACACATGAAGCTTTCTGTTTCTTACTTTCTATGGCACAATACCTTATGAAATCTTTTTTCTCCCCCCCCCCCATTTCCAGTTGACCAGATTGTTACTCTTATATCAATGTCTGTGTAGTTAAAGAGCAAAGCACCGGTGGAAGTGATTCAACCCACACCTGTAAACCCAAAGGCTGGTGGTTTGATTTCATCAGCTGCTCCACCAGAGAAAGAAATGGGAGAAGACTTCCCAAAGATGTATAGCTTTGCGAGGCCCTATGGGAAGGTTGTACTCTGCATAATAGCATAGCTGTGTGTAGGAACGGACTCAAGGGCAGTGGGCTTTGGTTTGGTTAGGGAGCTCTTGGTTTGAAGAGTCAGATGAAAGGGTCATGTGATAGGATGGAACGTGGAACAATCGCACACTGTTGCCTCAATGCTGTAACAAAGCACCACCTTAAGGGATCACAGAAACTCATCACTTACCCAGCTACCTTTGCGACTCAAGAGTAATTCAGAAAGTTTACAGACAGATTCTGTTATCTTTTAATAGATCTTTTATCCATTTTTCCCAAGAACTTTTTGGAGCCCTCTAGTGCATATGCAAACTCAAAAGAATAAATATGCACACACAGGAGGATTGTGTTTTTCCTCCACCCTTCTGTAGACTATGTGAACACAAAAGAGGGAGCAAAGGCAACATGAGACTTCTGTTTTAAAAGAAATCTAAAGGGGACTTTAGAGCAGCAGTTCTCAACCTGTGGGTCGCAACCCCTTTGGGGGACAAAGGACCCTTTCACAGGGGTCGCCAAATCATAACAGTAGCAAAATTACAGTTATTAAATAGCAACGAAAATAACTCTAAGGTTGGGGGTCACCACAACATTAGGAACTGTATTT